AGCTCTGAGATCATGGCTGACACTGACATGGTGAGTTCTGAGATCATGGCTGACATGGTAAGCTCTGAGATCATGGCTGACACTGACATGGTGAGCTCTGAGATCACATGGCTGACACTGACGTGGTGAGCTCTGAGATCACGGCTGACACTGACATGGTGAGCTCTGAGATCATGGCTGACACTGACATGGTGAGTTCTGAGATCATGGCTGACATGGTAAGCTCTGAGATCACGGCTGACACTGACATGGTGAGCTCTGAGATCACATGGCTGACACTGACGTGGTGAGCTCTGAGATCACGGCTGACACTGACGTGGTGAGCTCTGAGATCATGGCTGACACTGACATGGTGAGTTCTGAGATCATGGCTGACACTGACATGGTGAGTTCTGAGATCATGGCTGACATGGTAAGCTCTGAGATCATGGCTGACACTGACATGGTGAGCTCTGAGATCACATGGCTGACACTGACATGGTGAGCTATGAGATCACATGGCTGACACTGACGTGGTGAGCTATGAGATCACGGCTGACACTGACGTGGTGAGCTCTATCAAGGTTATTGCTGATGATCCTAGAGAAATCTAGTCAGAGGTGAGACCACAAAGCCAAGGCCTCAGCATACAATACCTGCTCTGTTGTCCCCTTTTTAATGCTTCTCTGCTGACCTTCTGAAGGCAAGGGGACCCATTAGTGACAGTCAGATGCTGCCCCCTTCTGGAGAAAGAAGCATCTCTCCCTGACCTCTGCTCTTGGCCCTTCTTCTTAAGTAACTGACAGTGTGGTTAATCTAGTTAGACATTTGTGGATGTTTGCCAGTGTCACTTCCATCATGAGAGAGCATTAATTTCAGTTTTCGGTGATGGGAACACCTATTGTTAAGGCTTTTATTCATATCACTTTATTCTCATTTGGCCAAACCAGATACAACTCCTGAGAAAGAAAAGTAAGCTTTCATTTGAGGCGTTGATACATATAACAGAGTATATAAACTCATCTCTAATAATACTGAGAAGAGTTCATATTCTCTTTAAACTCAGTAGCCATCAATCATGTCAGTAAGAGAATAATTTTATTTTCATTAAAATAGCAATTTTGGAACATAAGGCAGACAGGGATGCCTACAGCATGAGACATCGCATAAACAACTGCATTACTCTACAGAGAGGGATAAGCACAGAAAAAGGATGGAAACAGGCAACCAAGAC